CCAACTAAACGAGTCCCCTTGAGACGATCCAACTGAAGATTTGCCAACTATATATTCAGATTTGGTGCTATAAATTCCCTTTTTCAGAGGCAGCCACTGTTACTTGTCGGGTATTTGGGTAGCACACAGTACAATGTTAAGAATCTCTTCCTCATGGTACTGTGTGATACCCAAATACCCGACATTAAAATTCTAATTGCCTCTATATTCCAGACATTAGAATTCGGGAGAAGGAGGTCTTTTACAGATTTGGTGGGACATAAGCTGTCGATACTCCGATTCAGCTGTCGACGGATGGAAGAACCCACTTATACAAATAAGTGAAGCTCTTGATTGGTGAAAGGGGAATTAAGCCAACGACACACGAGGACTTGAAAGCTCGTATTGATCAGCTCGACGGTCTTCAAGGGTTTCCCGATCTCGTCGACATATGCTTTAGAGGATTCGAAGAAATAACTTTTAAGATTGATTCAAAGCAAGCGTAATATTACAAGTGAAAGGGTGAAGCCTTTTTATAGGCTTGACATAAAGAGGATCCTATTTTAACCTAGCCACGTGTGTGGTTAAGGCGCTTACAACACTTACGTGAAAAAGAGAAAGAAAGCTAATTTTCGGAATTTAAAAGATAAGGATAGGAATCTCTCGACTTGTGATGATGCGGGAATGCACTAGGTTTAACTGCCTCGTTAAAACCTCCTCGGTAAAACCCATTGGGAAAAAACCGAGGTAGGAAAAAGAGTACAGTCACACACTAACGTCTTTAACATCTTTACCCGATGGTGATGGTGAAGACCGTCCACAATGGCTCGATGACTCATCGATGGTTTGATCGATCGTTGCTTGGTCGTGGCATACTATTGGACAAATAGGTTGAAATGGTCTCGGATGGTCTTCTTCGCATGTTGGCTCCTTGTGGTGGATCCAAGATCGATGGCTGGAACGCGGGGTCGGGTCATCGAACGTGTTCGTGGTCCATATCCTGGTCAGCGTCCGTCCGTCTAAGGTCCGTGTGTGTTTGTCTGAGGTTGTCGATGCTGAAGGTCACATCATCCCTCCCCCCCTTCAAATGGATTTGACCTGAAAACCTGCTCCTCGTCACCTACATCAAACGAAAATAGGTCACTTACGTTGAAGGAAGTAGAAATTAAAGGCTCACCTGATAGCGCAAGTTGGTATGGGTTATCGTTGATCCACTCAATGACATGGAACGGTCCGTCGCCTCGGTGGCTGAGCTTGTCTTTCTTTCGTGTGGGAAACCTTTCCAGGCAAAGGTGCAGCTATACCCATTCAGTGGGTTGAAAAATCATCACTTTGCAGTGCTTATTGGCTCGTCGTGCGTAATGTTCAGTTTGCTTCTCGATGTTTCTCCAGATAGAGCGGCGTTAAATGTTTGAAACCATAGACAGCTTTGAACGGAGCGATTTTGGTGGCCGAGTGCTCCACACATTTGTAGGCGAACTCGATGTGTGGCACGCAGCCGATCCATGTGCTTATGTTCTTGGTGGTGGTCGTCCGTTAGAGAGCACCCAATGTCCGGAGTGTTTAGAGCGGTCTACATATTTAAAAATCACCGAATATTTGGGTAACGATACATGTGCTCCATAAAAAAAAGCTCATTATGTAGGACGCCATCTACGAGAACAAATGAACATCTCATTATGCAGTAGTATGAGGGTGTGAAGAAAAGTCTTAAACTGAATGATAAAATTAATATTAGACAGAAAAGTCTTAAACTGTATGGATGCAAACTTATTTATACTCAAACTTGGGAATTTTGTGAGTATGATGTTAACGAACTTAGAGGAATTCTTGAGAAAAGCTATGGTAAGATACCAAAATACTTGCACATGTTAAAAAAAGTGAATCATGGTACGTACACGAACTATGAAATTGATTGCGATGGTAGATTCAATATCTATTTATTTCTTTTGGTCAATCAATAAGAGGGTTATACAAGGCAATTCGGAAAGTGATAGTAGTTGACAAAACATTTTTGAAGAGGAAATTCGAAGGAGTTCTACAGCTAAGTTCTATCCAATCGTATTTGGAATTGTTGATTTTGAGAATGATTGTTCGTGGGAGTGGTTTTTTATGCAACTTAAGATGGTTATAGTGGATGAAGAAGGTTTATCTTTTTTTATCATATAGACATATGTCCATTGGCTAAATCGATTGGCAACATCTACCCTTTGGCTAAATATGGTATTTGCATCCACCACTTGATTACTAATGTGATAACATATAATAAATGGAAAGGTATGGCTGGTATGGTTTCAAAAGCGTCTAAAGCTTATAGAGTTGCTGAGTTTGAGAAACAGTTTGCGCAAATTAACAGTATTAGTCCTTTGATTGGAAAGTTATTTAGAGGATGTTGATGTGATAAAATGGGCTCGCGGTCATTTTCCTGGTTATAGATATGATATTAACACCAACAACGCTGCTGAATCGATGAATGTAGCTTTGAGATAACCTAGAGAGTATCCTATAATTCCTTTTTTAGATAACATCAGAGAAATGCTAACACGATGGTTTTATTAGAGTAGAGAATTAAGTACAAAGCATAAAGATCCTGTAATTGTTGCGGTGGAGAAAAAGATTTCAAGAAGAATAGAGAAAGGTAAATATTTCTAAGCATATCCGATTACCAGATATATGTTGCTGGTTAAAGGTAATGGAGAAGAGTATGTTGTTGATTTAGAAAAACGAGCATGTTCATGTGGGAAATTCGACATAAAAAAAAAATTCTTGCACACACGCAATCAAAGGAGCTTTTGATATAGGCAAAGATCTATATCCTTATGCTGATGATGTTTATACCACTACATCATGGAGATCGCATTACGAGAAAACTATTAACCCAATAGGGTTTCCCGAACAAGAATGACGTGTCCTGATACATGTTGAAGATGCAACCGTTCGACCACCAGAAACAAGAAGACATCTAGGTAGACAAAGAAATCGAAGACGTGAAATAGTTGAAGACAAAATAAAATCATCACAAAGATCACAAGGGTTAAAGAAACATAAGTGTAGTTGTTGTGGGAAAAAAGGAACATAACCAAGTCTACCTTTAAAGATTTGAAAATATAATGTACAAGAAAATTTAGAAGAAACATAGAGGGCTTATAGTGCATATTATTTTTTATTTTGTATGATTGATTTCTATTTTTTGAGGATGAATGGTAAATTTGCAAAACTTGGTGATTTGCAGGATTTTGTCCCCATAACTCTCTCCATAGCAATGGCATTACTAATGTTGAAGAATCTTGCGAAAATAGCATGATAGTCAAAGTGAAAAATAATGTTGACGATCTATAACTCTTATAAAACTGAGAAATAGACGGTCAACACAATTCCAGAATTAAACAGCTTGCCGAAATAAGTGAACATCAAATAACTCATTAGTAAAAAATTAAACAACATACCAAATATATAATTCAATAGCTAAAATAAATAACTTGCCACAATAACCAGTCACAAGTAAAATTAAACAACATGCCAAAGTCACTCATTGGAAAAGGTAAAAAATGCGCCAAATAGAATAAAATTAAGATTGAGATTGATCAGTAAAGACAATAAAAATTAATTAAGATTAACTCAATTGAAATTAATAAAAATAATTAAGATTGAGTCAAACGCGTAAATTAAAATTAGTTAAGATTGATCAATAGTGAAAATTAAATTTACTAAAGATTTTGATTCAATAAAAATTAATTAAGATTCATTCAATTAAAAAGTTAAAACTAATTAATTTATTTTTATTTTTGCTATTGATTCAATGTTAATTAATATTTATTTACGCGATTGACTCAATCTTGATTTTTTTTATTTTTGCATTTAAGTCAATCTTAATTAACTTTTGTTTTCGGGATTGATTTAATCTTAGTTAATTTTAATTTTAGTGCGTTATTTACTTTTGCGAGTGAGTTGTTTTGGCACGTTATTTAATTTTACTTGTATCTAGTTATTTTTCAAGTTATTTATTTTGGCTATTGAATTATTTTTGTTAGTTTCTTTTCTTTTTTTACTAACGAGTTATTTGTTATTTAGTTACTTCGGCATGCTGTTTACTTTGTAAAGATTTATAGATCGCCGACATATTTGTCACTTTGAATATCATGTTATTTTCGTAAGATTCTTCAACACTAGTAGTTGCACTGCTATACAAAGAGTTATGGGGAAAAATTCTTGCAAGTCGCCAATTTTTAAATTTTTTTAAATTTTATCATTGTTTTTTTTAACAACCATTCATCTTCAAAAAAATATAAATCAATCATACAAAATGAAAAATAATATGCAGTTTAAGCCCTATGTGTAACTTCTAAATTTGTTGACAAAAACAAAATTAATAAAAGCTATCTATATTATAATTGAGAAATAAATTTATACGAAAAAAACTTGCACATATGCGCAAGTATTGATATATGAGAAAACTAACACATAATATTTTATCACAAAAAACAAAACAAAGTCATATTTTGAAGCCTCATGGCCAGGGGCGGACCCACATGTCATATGGTGGGGGCAGCTGCCACCAGCAAAAAAAAAAAAAAAAAAAATACATTAAAAAATTATTAAAAATTAGAAGAAAAAAAATTCTGACCCCATTAAAATTGTTCTTCCTTCTTTTTTTGTCCCCACCGAACAAAAGCCCAATATCAAGTTATCAACCCATATAGCAAACAAAAATATTAATATATAAACCTAAAATAACTAACTTAATAAATTAAAGACCTAAACCTAGTTTGTTGTTATTTTTTCTCCTATTCTTTTCTCCTCTGGTTATTTTTGCTGTACACGACGATTAACAAGTGCAAGTCAACAAATATCAATTGGTGAGTCTTTTTCCTGCTTTTTATAGAAATTATTATAGTGTGATGTGACATTATTACTGTAGGTTTTCTAAATTTTTAACTAATAACATGTTTTTGTTTTATAGCTAAATCACCAATATGAAAAAATTTTACAAACCAATTCCTAAACCAACGCCACACTCCAATATGGATGATCAACCACAGGATCCAGCTAACACCAATATTGATGACCAACCACTGGATCCAGCTAACACCAATGTCGATGATCAACCATTGGATCCAGATAACACCAATGTCGATGATCTGCCTTGGGATCCAGCTAAGAGAAAAGAGATAGTGAGTTATCATCCGAATCAAAGAGACGAGGTAAGACGCAAATATCTTGTTAGAGGTCCATGTCAACCTTCTGGTCATTCTTTTAAAAGAACAAAGATGAGTAATGCAACAAGACGATTTAATCCAGCTTGGTTTGAAAAATACGGTACTTGGCTAGAGTATAGTGTATCAACAGACAGAGCTTTTTGTTTGTGTTGCTACTTATTTAAAGGTGACGGACGGAAGCAAGGTGAGAGTGATGCATTTGTGAAAGAAGGGTTTTGTCTCTGGAATAAGCCTGAAAGGTTAGAAACTCACATAGGCGGAACCAACAGTTTTCACAATTGTGCTGTAGAGAAGTGTGATAACTTGATGAAGCAAGCCCAGTCTATCAAACATGCTTTGTTTAAGCAGAACGATGTGGTGAAGAATGAGTATCGCATTCGTTTAACTGCTTCAATTGATGCTTCCAGATATTTGTTGCGACAAGGATTGTCTTTTCGTGGTCACGATGAGTCAGAAGAATCTGCCAATAGAGGAAATTTCTTGGAACTAGTGAAATACACAGGAGAACAGAATGATGCTATAAGTAAGGTTATTTTGAATAATGCTCCGAAAAATAACCAGATGATTGCTCCTAAGATTCAGAAAGAGATTGTGAATTGTTTTGCAGAAGAAGTAGTGAAATCGGTTATTGAAGAAATTGATCATGGCGTCTTTGGTCTGTTAGTTGATGAGTCTGCTGATATATCTCACAAAGAACAAATGGCAGTTGTATTTCGATTTGTTGATAAGAGCGGAGACGTGAAAGAAAGGTTTATTGGAGTTGTTCATGTTAAAGAAACTTCGTCTGCATCTTTGAAGTCTGCTATTGATAATTTATTTGCTAAGTACGGGTTGAGTTTGAAAAAGCTAAGAGGACAAGGTTATGATGGGGCAAGCAATATGAAAGGTGAATTTAATGGCTTGAGAGCATTGGTTGTTAGAGAAAACATTGCAGCATATTATGTTCATTGTTTTGCTCATCAACTTCAGTTGGTGGTGGTGGCAATCGCAAAAAAACACTTTGAGGTTGGTGATTTTTTTGATATGATTTCTGCATTGGTGAATGTGGTTGGAGCTTCTTGTAAAAGACAAGACATGATTCGAGAAACTTATCGAAAAAGGTGCAGGAAGGAATTAGTAGTGGTGAGATTAACACGGGTACTGGATTAAATCAAGAAATTTCGCTACAAAGACCTGGAAATACTCGTTGGGGTTCTCATCAGAGAACATTGCAAAGGTTAGTTGAGTTGTTTTCTTCTATCATTGAAGTTCTTGAGTATATCCAAAATGAAGGCGTCGAAGACTCTAAAAACGTCAAGCATATGGTCTTCTCAAGTACTTTCACACTTTTGATTGTGTGTTCTATATGCAACTTATGCTACTTATTTTGGGATTAACTGAGAATTTGTCAATGGCTTTGCAAAGGAAAGACCAAGATATTTTGAATGCCATGTCATTGGTGGAATCTACTAAGAGAGAATTACAGAAGCTTAGAGATGATGGATGGGATTCACTTATGAATAAAGTTTCATCTTTTTGTGAGAAACATAATGCTGAACTGCTTGTCATGGAAGACGTTTTTGTAGATCCAAGGAAACCAAGAAGAAAAACCAATATAACCAACCTACATCATTATAAGGTTAACTGCTTCTACACTATTATAGATTTACAGCTTCAGGAGTTCAATGATCGTTTTACGGAGGTAAACACTGATCTACTTATTTGTATGGCTTCTTTAAGTCCTCTTGATTCATTCCAAGAATTTAACAGAGAAAAATTGGTGAGGTTGGCTAAGTTTTATCCAGATGACTTCAGCTATGGGGAGGTTTTGTCTTTTGAGCAGCATCTTGATATCTACATTGACAATGTGAGCAGAGATGAACGATTTAAGAGTCTGAAAAGTCTTGGAGAGCTTTCCCGTTTGATGGTGAAAACCCAAAAACATCTTGCACATCCCTTGGTTTATAGGCTTTTGAAATTAGTTCTAACTTTACGAGTTGCTACAGCAAGTGTTGAGAGATGTTTTTCTGCAATGAAATTGGTGAAGACAGCTGCACGGAATAGAATTGGAGACCAATTTCTAAGTGATTGTCTTGTTTGCTATATTGAAAAAGAATTATTTGAAGCGGTCACAAATGAAAATGTGATAAAAAGGTTTCAATTGTTAAATGAGCGTCGGGTAGTTTTGTAAGATGTTTTAAAAGTTTTATATGACAATTTTATGTTTTTCAATAATTTAGTATTTGATGGTTTTTACTATTTTTTTGCCCCCGTTGAATAAATTTTCTAGATCCACCCCTGCTCATGGGCATATATATCTATCTAGCTATACTCGATTACATTTGGTTAACTCATGAGAAAGACTATTTAGATAGATTTTTATACTCTCAACATGACCCTCACATTACATAAAGTTAAAAATTCTTAAGAAATATAGTAGATGTCACTTCAATCCTTGTTCAATTTCCAAAATCACCTCAAGTCCCTTTAATTAGTTTTGCTGATTGGACTCGTTGACATTGAGTTGTTGGAGCATGTTTGGATCAGTTTGATGCTTGTTTGATCCCTCAAAGAGTTTGTGGCTTTGCATAACTTCACTTGCTGACATCTTCAGTTGTTGGAGTTCTACACTTAATCGTTCATTATCTGCTAACACCACCTTCATCAATTGCGCTTCTACGCTAAGTTCTTCCGTCAACGTTGTTGTTGCCTTTAGCTTTTCGATTTCTGTATGTAATCAAATTATTTTGTTTATACATAACAAAAACATTACTAAAGAACTTGCCAAAAAAACAGTATAAGTAATTAAGATGACTTACCATTATGAACTTTTTCCTCTTCTTCCAACGATTCAAGTCTAATCTTGAATTCCTTCTTCTTATCATGCAGCACTATTTTATCTTTCTGCATGCAACAATAATATACATTCAATAATTTTCTTACATGAACACTTTAGTCATAACAAATTTTATGGTTCCCAATATGACAGATGTCTCACTTCCAACATCGTCATCTTGTTAATCATTAAAGCATTCTCCTTCTCAAAAAATTTCGTCCCCCTTTCCAACTCAGTAATGTGTTGTCCCTTTTTTTTATTTGAACGTTCAGCTGACTCTCTGTTTGCCATAATTCTTAAAAACCAAACAATGTATGATTAAAAACCAAAAGTTGTATGATAAAGAAAACCAAAGATTGTATGATAAAAAAATGGAAAAAATAAAAGAAAGATTAGCAATTTAGTCACGCAAACCTTCTGACTTTCTTAGGATCATTTTGAATCTTTGAAAGTTTGGGACACTTTGAAATCTTCTCCAATTCATTAGCAGTGTACACGTCTTCCGCAAACCCGAGGTCAAAAGTATTGTCATCTCCATCAACCAAACTGGTAGAGGAGATATAACCAGAAGAAACCGGTATGTTCAAGAAGTCGTTGAGACCGGTGTCCATTGAAATACTCTTGTAGTGTCCGCTTAAAGTTTCAATGCTTTCGCCTTGAGTTCTTCTGTTCACATTCAAAGTAGTTGATGGAGAAAGGCTCACTGGTCCTAGTGGATGATGAAGGACTGACGACGGGGAAGGGTTCAAAGGCCGCAAGGAAGAGTTAACAGGTGCCTCCTGAGTCATTGGCCTTGGTTCGGGAGGAGTGGTATTGTCGCCTCCATTCATCTGTATCAAAATATCAAAGTAAACTTTCTAGGTATAACTTATTTTTTCTTATGGCTGGAAAAAATAATCTAATAGATAAAAAAAATGGAGAAAAAGATAAAAGTTTACTACGATTAAAGAAAAAATAAAATTTAATGTTAACGAAAGAAAGAAAATACTCTACTTTTTAAGAAGAAAATGTCTAAGAAACTAGAATATGATGGTTCTGAGCTTTGATAGTGAGCAAGAGCTTCCTTTTATAGCTTAAGAATTACAAACATGATACTCCTACCTTAATCTTATTTTGTTAATAAAATATCTTATAAATTTTGAAGTCAAAACACTTGAATGAACTCTGTGTTATTTAGGCAGTTTAATAAAAATATATAAAGTTAAGATCATTGTGTATTATTTGACTCAATCTTAATTAATTTTTCTTTTTGCTATTAACTCAATATTAATTAATGTTTATTTACACAATTGACTTAATCTTAATTAGTTTTAATTTCTCAATTGAGATTTTTAATTTTTTTTATTTTTTTTTGATTGATTGAAAATCTTAATTAGTATTTATTTTCACTATTGAATCAATTTTTATTTACGTTATTGACTCAATATTAATTTTTTTGATTTTCGTAATTGACTCAATATTAATTTTATTTTATTTCCACTATTGAATCAATCTTAAGTAATTTTTATTTTAGCGATTGACTCAATATCTTAATTTATTATTATTTTTGCTATTGGTTCAATGTTAATTAATTTTTATTTACGCAATTGACTCAATCTTGATTATTTTTATTTTTGTATTTAAGTCAATCTTAATTAACTTTTGTTTTCGCGATTGACTCAATCTTAGTTAATTTTTTTTTTGCGCGTTATTTACTTTTGCTAGTGATTGGTTTTGGCACGTTAATTAATTTTACTTGAATACAGTTATTTTGGCAAGTTATTTATTTTAGATATTGAAATATTTTTGTAAGTTGTTTTTTGTTATAACGAGTTATTTGTTATTTGCTTATTTCAGCATGCTGTTTACATTTGGTTTTGTCTTGACAATCTATTTTTTTACTTTGTAAAGATTTATAGATCGCCGACATATTTGTGACTTTAAGTATCATGTTATCTTTGTAAGATTCTTCAACACTAGTAGTTGCACTGCTATGAAGAGAGATATGGGGAAAAATTCTTGCAAGTAGCCAATCTTTTAAATTTTACCATTCATTATTTTTTAGCCCTATACGTATTTTTTAGCCCCATTCAAAAAAAAATACAAATCAATCATACAAAATGAAAAATACTATACAGTTTAAGCCCTATACGTATCTTCTAAATTTGTTGACAAAAAATTAATAGAAGCTATTTATATTATAATGGAGAAATAAATTTATATTAAAAAAACCTTGAACATATGCGCAAGTATTTATATATGAGAAAACAAACATAATTTTTAACACAAAAACCAAAAAAAAACAAAAAAATGTCATATTGTTTGAAATCATGGGTATATATATCAACCTAGTTATATACTCGACTGAATTTGGTTAATTCATGAGTAAGACTATTTAGATAGGTTTTTATACTCTCAACATGGGCTTTTTCATACCTGGACTATCTAGGTATGTTAATTTCATATAGTTGACTTGTCATTGTGCTAGATCATACCTGGACTTATTGTAAATTTGAATTTAGTACCTCGAGATTTCATTTCGTGCTGAATAATACAAAAACGTGTTAAATGTGTAACGCTGTTAACTCTCCGTCGACGTGGATTCCACGTCAGATGACACGTAAATCCATCGCTTGATGACGTGGCAAAACGACGTCGTTTTGGTCGCTTAGATGGTAATTAAAAATATGTCGACAGCAAGGCTCGAACCTCCAACCAATCACTTTTATACTGACTACATAACCGCTAGGCCATCAACACTTAATAGGTATAAATGAACAACGCATTAATATATAGTGTTTCGTATTTCTATATAATTAACATAGTGTTTCCTATTTCTTCTTCATTAATATTAATGATCATTCGACACTAGTGTTTCGTATTTTTATATAGTGTTTTATATAGTGAAAAACACTATATATGTTTCGTATTTCTATTTTGTATTTCTTCTTCATTAATATATAGTGTTTCGTATTTCTATATATTAAAACAATATATAGT